GACGCTCTTCCGATCTCCCCAAAACCCCAAAACCCCGAATATAAATATTTGGATTAAATATTGTTTTAATTAAAATATTATAGTAGTGATTAAATTCAATGGCTTCAATAAATATTTTAAGTAAGTCTTATTTTTTACCTAATATTCAGATAGGGGTTCTTAACATATTCTGAATAAATAAGCCGCATCATAGACAGCAAAGATTACTTTGAAGCAGAAATATGCTCACAAAATTATTGATGGAAGAAAGCTAGCAGACCATCATCTAAACTATCTTAAAGATAAAATTTCATAAGCATCTAGTAATTTTACTTCTATTGACAAGTATTTTTAGTTTAAAATGCAAAAATATATGAAAAGCCAATGCTTGGGTATGTTTTGGTAGGCAATGACATAGAATCAGAGTTGTATGTCCGTATGAAGAAAAAGGCATGTGATAAGATAGGAATTGAATATATCGGTCATTCTCTTGATAAAAGCGTGTCTCAAGAGCAACTGAGTCACTATGTTCAGGAACTTTAGAATAACTAGAGAATCAATGGGATACTGGTGTAACTACCTCTTCCTGATCACATCAATGAAAATTAGATCTTAGATATAATCTCACCACTCAAAGATGTTGATGGAATTTGCCCCTATAATATCGGTTGTAATAATAGTCAAAGATCTTAACTATATCATAGGTCTTGCTTTGAAAAAAAGAGTTCCCTATTACACCTCATGTACACCACTTGGAGTTCTTAAGCTTATCCAATCTGTGTGTCCAGACCTTAAGGGAAAGAGAGTAACAGTTTGCGGGAGAAGTAATATTGTTGGATTGCCTCTATCTTTACTTTTAAATAAATAGGATGCTACTGTTTCTATTTGTCATTCTTTAACCCCTAATATTCAGGATTATATTAAAAATGCTGACATAGTTGTGACAGCAGTTGGAGATCCCAAATTTTTTAAAGGTGAGTGGTTTAAAGAAGGAGCTATTGCAATAGATGTGGGCATAAATTAAATATAAGGAAAAAACATGAATGGAGAAATAGTTAAAAGAATAGTAGGAGATATTGATTTTGACAATGCAATTGAAAGATGCTCTTATATTACCCCAGTTCCAGGTGGTGTTGGACCAATGACTATAGCTATGCTTATGAATAATATAGTAGAAAGTTGGGAAAGAATGAACTTTTGATTAAATTAAGATTTATTTTATCACTATAAGCCTAGTATCGATAGTAAAATTATGGGGTTTTGGGGTTTTGGGGAGATCGGAAGAGCGTCG